TGCTCAGAAGAGGAGCTCCCCTGCAGCACCGAACACATAAATCACACAAGTGACATTCCTCTAACCTGTGTCCTGTGAGCCCACATTTCACTTACAAACCTAACTTTTATGTCTAGGAACGGAGACTCTGAGAGGAAAGTCTGATCACCTGCAAACAGGTAAACAGAGTAGGATCTCAGCTCAAAACGGATGAGCTTACAGCGGAATACACACGAGCTCCCTAGGCAGTTTGCAAATCGCAGGATGGTTTACGGGGGATAAACCTTGAACTGAATGATGGACTCATGTCTACCCTACCAGTAATTCACTGTAAAACACAAAAAAAGTAATTAGATATATTTTCTCACAAATTTCTTATGTAGTTTTTTCAAATAGAAGTATGTTAGCTTCCACCACCCCACAAAAAAGAAATCAGTTAAAGTAAACGTTTGTTCAACAGCCATTAAAATAATGGGCACCACGGTCATGAATGACTTACTAATGCATCTGGGTTGAGCTGACCATCCATTCTGGAGACATGTAATATACCCGGATGTCTGACCATCTTCTGTTACATAATCTTGTTTGCACTTATATTTTACTTTTTGATTTAAGAGATATGTAGATTCAGGCTCAGCAATAAATCCATTTGCAATTTTTACCTTTGAATTTAAGCATGTTTCTAAAAGGAAGAGAGCGTAAGGAAACGGTAAGCATATGATCAGGAAACAGTTTCTTAAGGACTCACACACATTACAGCATAAGAAAAAAGGGCCATTTGTCAATGAAAACCTGGAAAATTCCTAATCACCCAAAACATTGTGTCAGAGAAAATAGGTTATGAGTTTCCAAAAATTTAAAATCTAGATATGAAAAACTTTTGGGGGGAACTAAGCCAGATTTAAAACTCTTAGGATGCCTTGTAAGAAATTATTAAAAATCGGTTTGCCTCATGAATCTGGAAGCCCGCAGCCCGCCGGAGCTCTCCTAGCAACAGGCCCTTTCCTGTGCCTGATTGGGTGTCAATCCTCTCAAAGAGCTCTTTCTACTGCCCGCACCACCTTACCAAACGCCACCTCCATGTACCTGCTTCCTTATGAGAGAATATTTAAAATAAAAGCGTGAGTCCCTGGACGATTACTCTGCCTGACACCCAACACTCAGTAACGTCACTGTCTTTTCTACCAACATGCATCCCAGATCTGTCCTCTGCTCTGCATCTCCTCAGCCGCCACTCTGGCCCAATCTCCACCGGAAATCCCCCCCTTCCTCAGTGGAACCCTCATGGATTGTTTGGTTTTCAAAGCATTACACGTCCTGTCCCCATGAGTTGGAATACTCTGCATCCACCCACGTGCCCACAGATGGAGGTTCTATTTCTAACCCCGGAAAACAGGCTGGCAAACATGCAGGAGATTCGTGTAACTGTCCTCAGAACTGTCCACAATCAGGAAATAAGGAAGTCCTCTCAGGACCTGCAGGAATGAACACTCAGCTGGGAGGTGGCAAGAACCAACTCGGGAGAAAACTGCCGAGGAAGTTGTAAAACACATCATCTGGGTCATGAGTATCTAAGTTTACATAATATAAAGGTTGTGTTTAGGATAACAAAACAATTATATGCTTTACACACATTTTGTTTATTTCGATGATCCTGAAAATCAGTACTTACCCTGACAGGTGGGTGCATCAGACCAACCATTTTCACCACACACTATGGAGCCTATGGTGTGTCCATCTCGGTTTTTATATCCATCCTGGCATTCATAGGCCAACCTGTCATTGACCTTAAACCACGTGCCATCACTTTTGGCTCTGGCATTCACAAATACTGGCACACCACAAGATTCTAATGCATAATAGAATTGAAGATTTCACTTCTAATATTATTGAGCGGACAATCGAATTGTGTAAGTTCCATCCCAAGAATAAAAAAGCTTTACCACTTAGCATGTGCTAATAAATTATGCATCATATACAAATAATTTAAGCATACTAGTGATAAATCACTGTCCTAAAGTCTTTACTCATAAGAAAAGCATGTGTTTCTACACAGCAGTTTTACCATCACTTAAATCATCCAAAACCTTTATTTTAAGAACATTTTTCTCAATGCAATTAAACTTAGACATTTATTCCATGTTAGAAATAAAATAGGCCATGCCCTAACCGGTTTGGCTCAGTGGATAAAGGGTCAGCCTGCGGACTCAAGGGTCCCAGGTTCGATTCTGGTCAAGGGCATGTACCTTGGATGTGCAGGAGGCAGCTGATCGATGTTTTGCTCATCAATGTTTCTAACTCTCTATCCCTCTCCCTCTCTCTCTGTAAAAAAATCAATAAAACATATTTAAAAAAATAAAAATAAAATAGGCCATAAAGATGCATTGTACTTTTTCTTTTTGGCAAAGCAGAATAGCATTTTGCGAGTGTAGATGCCAAAACTGTTAGCAGTTGTGACATATATGCCAGAAAAAATTGTTTCAACAAAAAAGTTATTTTTCAACAGTGAGAGTAAATTTAATATTTTATGCAATTAAACATACTATACAATTCTCCTTTAACACATACTAATTTTTACTGCTCAATGCTAATTTAGCTTTTTCAGATATTTTTAATGACTTTATATTCTTCTATACTTATTGAGGTTGAATGTAAAGATAGTTCTATCATTAAAATTAGTATAAGAAAGCAAAATGCTAAAATATGGTCTCAATTTTCACTAACACTATATTGGAGTGGTGCCAATAAAAGTTTAAATAATTAACCTCATATTTTATAACATAATATGTGGCTAGCTAGCTTAAAGTATTAAAAAATAAACTAAAACTATAATAATAAAAATAATAGGCACATTTCTTCTTTTCCTAATAAGAGTGTTGTAATGAATAGTTGATCACAATTTAATATAAAATGAGTCTGATATGGATACAACATTATTTTTGCTCTGGCTGGTTCCCATGGTACGTATGGAAATGGAAAGCAATGAAAACAATAGGAATGGACATTTTAAATATCTACTTCATTTAAAGTGAATGAAAACTATCACCGCGTGACTTTGGGATGAATAAGACAAAATGAGCGAACTGTCTAGGGAATGTTCATAAACTTTGAGGTCATAAAGCAGAGAGCTCTCTCCCTGCTGCGGACTCTAGGACAGTGATGGTGAACCTTTTGAGCTCGGCGTGTCAGCATTTTGAAAAACCCTAACTTAACTCTGGTGCCGTGTCACATATAGAAATTTTTTGATATTTGCAACCATAGTAAAACAAAGACTTATATTTTTGATATTTATTTTATATATTTAAATGCCATTTAACAAAGAAAAATCAACCAAAAAAAATGAGTTCGCGTGTCACCTCTGACAAGCGTGTCATAGGTTCGCCATCACTGCCTTAGACAGTGGTTCTCAACCTTCTGGCCCTTTAAATACAGTTCCTCA